CCAATCCTCCTGCTTGCTCCAGCTCCGTGGCTTCCAGCCACCATCTTGGTTGGGTTAATTTGCATATAGTCGCTCTGATTGGCTGGTGGGCATGGCTTGGGGGTGAAGCGAAGGTATGGTCAATTTGCATGTTTCTCTTTTATTAAATTAGATGGGAGCAGCTTCATGGAGAATGGTCAACAATGAGCGGGTACTTGGAAGTCACCACAGACAGGTAATGGGAGTCCACGTCCTTGCTGTAGGCACCTCAGCACAAAAGGCTGAACTGATAGCCCTCACAAGAGCCTTAGAATTATCCCAGGGAAAGATACTAACATCTACACTGACCCTAAATATGCTTTCATGGCCATCCATGCTCATGGAGCAACATGGAAAGAAAGAAGGCTCTTAACCTTGGGAAATAAATAAGTGCATCAAACATGCAAAAGAAATTTTAAAATTGCTAGAGGCAGTGAATCTACCAAATCAGATTGCCATAATGCACTGCCCAGGACATCAGAAGGGCAGTTCCCAAACAAGCCAGGGAAACCAAACTGCTGATAAAGCAGCAAGACAAGCCACCCGAGGGCCGCCACTTCTTGGGATTCTAATTCTCCACCTGAACTTGTCAGAGTTTAAACCTCATTGCACAGAATGAGGTAAGAAATGGCCCGTAAATGAGGAATCTCTAACAATGACCCTAATTCTCTATGGAAGTTCAACACCCATGGTGTGATCTTTCTCCTTGAAGCTCTAGTATATCTCATCCTCAAACACCTACATGAAGAGACCCATTGTGGAAGGGATGCTTTAATAGGCCTCATTGGACCACATGTGAAGAGCCCTCACTTACAAAGGACTATTCAGAAGATTATACAAGCCTGTCAGATATGTGCCCCAAACAACCTGCCAAAAACAATCCTAAAACAAGAATGTGCTCCAACAGGAAAGGGAGTACAATATAAAGGGGTATGCCCGTGTGAGGACTAGCAATTTGACTTTACACAGATGCCTAAAACCACAGGAAACTTTACATTTTTATTAGTTTTTGTAGATACCTTTTCTAGATAGGAAGAGGCATACATATCCCAACAACACTGGAAGCCAAGTGAGGTAACAAAACCATTCAAAGAAATAATCCCTAGCCCCGTTGCATGTGGCTCAGCAGTTGAGCATCGACCCAGGAACCAAGAGGTCACTGGTTTGATTCCCGGGTGGTGGGCTCAATCCTCAGTGTGGGGCATGCAGGAGGCAGCCGATCAATGATTCTCTCTTACCACTGATGTTTCTCTCTCGCCCTCTCTGAAATCAATAAAAATATATTTAGAAGCAAAAAAGAATCCCTAGATTTGGTCTTTCTTTCAACATTCAAAGTGACAATGGACCATTGTTCACTTCAATAAATCTCCCAGAAGAAAGGATAGGAGGGGCACTACACACTCAATAAAAACTACATGCATCTTGGAGACCCCAATCTACAGGGAAGACTGAGAAAATGAACCAAATAATAAAGACAACCCCGGTGAAAATATGCCAGGGAACACATCTGAAATGGGACCAGGAACTGAAATGGGACCAGGAACTCTCTATTGCCTTGTTCTGAACTACGGAAGTGCCCTGAAGTGGGCTTAAATTAAGCCCTTTTGAAGGTTTATGGGAGATCCTTCCAATTTTCTGTTTTAGGAACACCTCCTTTAGATTTAAAACATGAATAGAAAATGTAAAAGCCGTATGTACATCATCTAGGGCAAACACTAACAATGTTGCATAAGTTTGCTCATTGCAGGTCTATCTACCTGTCTGATGAGCCCTTACACCCATTCCAGCCGGGAGACCTAGTTTTACTAAAGACCTGGAAGTCTCAAGGTCCTGAGCAGCAGTTAGCCAAGCAATGGGCCAGTCTCTATGACGTCCTGCTGACAACACACTCTTCACTAAAGCCGACAGGAATCGAGCCTTGGATCCACCACACACAGATAAAGTGGGCACCACCTGAGGAGGACTCGATCTTGCTGCTGCTGTTGATATTGCAAAGCTGGACCTGCACTCCTGAAAGATATTTAAAATTCCTCTCTCAGAAAGGGACAGTACTTCCCAAAGCTAAGTGACAATATTGCTTTTTATTTTCTTCTGCATTTCCCAGACAGTGGCTTCCTTGGAAATTTATCCCACTGTTGGGTGTGCCATCCAAAGCCCCGTTCAGGATTAAATCATGGGGATCCTTTAGTTTATTCAGTTTCTGATTTCACTACAATTCCCCCTGCACTACTAGGCATACCCCTCACTAAACACTTGTTTGCACAATAGGTCTCACTCTGGAAGCCCATTAACACCACCAGCTCTCGAAATATGAAGCAGTCTACCAGCTTTGCTTGTTCAATAGTTCCATCCTCTAGACACCATATATACCATCTTCCAAAGAGCAGTCCTCCCTCACATAAAGGCTTCCCTCCATTCTTGATCCACCTCTTCTTTCAGTAGATAGTAAGAATCTCTGGTTCTGGGGATAGGTAAGACTATACCCTTTGACAGCTGGAAGACACTACAGAAGATGAGACCTCCATTCATTTCCCCTTAGATAACAAGGGTCCAGAGTTTTGAACGGGGGGAGTTGTTACCGCAGTCAGTCAGAGCACTGGGGAGTCTTCCTCCACTGGCCAAGATGGCACAGGGAGAGGTTTATACTGAGTATGCCAAGACCTAGAAATATGAATGGATAGGGCCCTGGATGAGCTGAAAGCTAGGAAGGGTCTCAAGCCTGCCAAAAGCTAACAAGGTAGTGGATAGGGGGGAAAAAAGGCCCTTCCACTCCCTATCCCTATAAGAACAGGGGGCTTGAGCAGGAAGAGAAGATGGTCTTTGAGACAGGAGTTCACCTGTCCACAGGTCCTGCAGTGTGGCTCTTGAATAAAACCTCTTTTCCTTTTGCACCAGCACCTGCCTCAAAAGTTTGGCTTTCCTTGCAGCAGGCAGCCAAACCTTCACTCTTTTGTTCAGCTATATTCCTAAGGAGGTTATATGTAAGCCAAAACCTTAATAACAAACTAGCCATGCAAATCCAGTATAAAATAAAGACATTCTAGGCAGAGGGACTTGCTAGTACAAAGGTGGGCACAGGCTTGTCCCTCCCCACCCTGGGATTTCAACATAGAAGCTGTAGGAGTGAGGATTGCTGTGGGAGAGTTAGGGAGTAACAACATCATTTACATTTGGCACTTCCATGAGGGATACCCATATTTAAGTAAAATGCATCCAGATTGGCTATGAAGAATGAGCCAAAAGGTCATGTGAACAGATTTCTTTGATATGTACCACAAATTGCTGCAATACAAGAATATGCTGTTATGCAATTTTAAAGTTTTTTTTTGTTATCTCATGTTAATGCTATTTTTTGTTACATTGTCAGCTCTGAAGAGCACAGTATTTATTCCTTACAGCACCTAGTCTAGTATAATAGCGTAGTAACTAATCCTCAATTAAAGAATCAAGCAAGACTAAAGAGATAGGTGTGGCATCCTACCACTTATTCTGTAGCTCCTCATTCCAATTGGCACCATTCTCTATGCCAACAGGGTCCCTCCTATCTTGGTAATCCTTCTGGTAACACAGCTCCAGATCATCACCTTTCCTCTCCATAAAAATGTTATCTTATTACTTTAAAATCCCCGGGTCCCCACTGTTTTCACAGCAGCCTGTACTCTGGTACTTTGATCTGTGCTAGGAGCTCTAAGTATCTTTCTTGCAGGCAGTCTCCAGGGATTTGGCCTACTTACTTCTCTTCTTCCCAGCAATCACCCATCTACCTTATTTCCGGGGAATGTTTCATCCATGTCTGGCTTTGGGAAATAAGTTATCTTTTGGATTCTTAGTGAAAAGGCCTGTGGCATTTTAGAAACTATGATTGTTACTTGCTGACTTCCAAAAGTATCTCTGATGTAAATAACTTTCAAGGAAAGTGGAGTATGATATAGTTGACATACAGTGACTAGATAAACATAGCTAGAAAATTCTAAGTCATTCAAGTTCTAAATTGCCTCCCCATTTTGAAACCACTTAACGAGATAGGTCAAAACACACAAAACGTTCAGGTTACAAGTAATGGACAATGTATATTAGAAAATTAAAAAATTGTAATAAATGTGCATTGTTCACAAAATGTGAAAAAATACAACAAACACTTTCAAGTATGCCACTTGGCAACTATGATATAAACCAACTGATCCTAAAGAATCCAACCAAAGGATCATTTGTTTTTGAAACACCAAATTATTTTGGAGAATCCAACTGTGAATGCATCAGGAGGACCCTTACTTCTTTATATCCAAATGAAATCATTCTCAAGAGTATCCATATTAATACAGTATTAGAAGGCTCTATTGACTTTTCTTGATATTACACATATAATCTGGCACCAAGCCACATGACTATTTATATTTTAACACTTATATATTGAATTGGCTTTGATAGAATATGTGTTCGTTTAAATCCTTACTAACCTAATTTGAATACGCTGAATTTACAGTAACAAATGGTATTTATAAATTCAAAGAAACTTATAGTAAGTGGGAGTACAGGTTTTATAAAGAGAGATTTTTTTATAAAGAGAGATTTTTCTGTAAACTACTACTTAAAATACAACATGCACACTTCAGAGCATGAGCAGAATCAACATCTGTAAAAAAATCAGAAGTATTTATAGCACCAACATTTAGCTATAATACAAATGCTGACTCCAAGGTAGCACCTACACCAGGATCTCAAAAGCACTGTTTTCATTTACTTTCAAAGCACTTTTATTGGTATATTTTTTTCTTTGCCCTTAAGATAGTATTTAGTCAAATCAAAGAAAACAATATGGTAAAAGAAGTATTACTAAAACACATGTTTTTTTTTCTTTCTTTTAGGGGAGCTACAAGACTTGACCTGCAGTGCTTAACTGGAAAGAAAAGTCAATCTTTATTTAAAGAATCTATTAAAAGCTATTGAAAGTAAAGGAAAAATTTCAAGTTACTTATTGCATATTTGAACAACCAATATTTATTGCATGTAGTTAACTGACTTTTTTAGGTTAATTACAATCGTATTACTTTCATTAATTCAGAATGTGAAATTTAATTTGAAATATCAGGTACACACATTCAACCATTTATATCTTAAAAATACACTTTGTACTTCTAAATAAAGTTTGACATTCAAAATTAACTATGGCAATTCACAATAAGCACAAAAACATCAGTTTTACCAGAGTAAAGAAGTGCAGTTTATGAAATTTAGGATCAACTATTGAAAATACAAGTTTTCTTTAAACACACACACACACACACACACACACACACACACGTACATTAACATGAAATCTGAAACTGATATTTCAGTGCAAAAACCTCAGTATGAGGTAATTTTAATGTAAAAACCACTTGAAAAAAAAATCCACACAGTGGCACTCTTAAAAATGATAATTTACATCACAATTTCTGGCTGATAAGACAACACAGACTAAATATTCTTAGCTATTTAAACTAAATCTTGTCTTGTTTGGACATATATTTCTCCTTAACCATTTGCTTCTGATTCAGAAACACAGAAAGATTTATCAATGTGGAAAGGGAAAACTTCCACAGCCAATGAATGATTTATATTTTCAAAGAAAAGTTTCAGTTAGCAATTATATAGAAATAAGAATACCAAAAGCTCAAAACCATTTTATTAGACTACCAGCAGAGATTACTTTTAATTTTTTTCTATATAATTTCAGACTTGTAGTGCAGTATACCTTCTTAGTGGAAAGGTGAGGACCCCTTATGAAAAGTTAGTCTAGATAAAACATAAGCTCTCTTACAAGTGCAAACCCTTTCACAAAGGTGTTTTAGGTCAATATTGAGTATTATACTGTTCCTTACTTAAATAGGATAATTTGTAAATGAACTCTACATTTAAAAAAACAAAAGTGAACTTGCACAGTTAAATATATTTAACACCAAGGCTCAAAACAACAAGAAAGTTATGAAAACTCTACTTTGGCAATGGTGGTTTTTGTACTGTGCTAATCAAATTACAATACACACTTAGGGGGAACTCTCTCCCCCAGTATCTGATGTTGCCAAATGAGCAAGAACAAGGACAAAAATTACCATCAATTCCAAGAAGTTCAGGAAATATTGGATCACCAGATAAAACTGAAAAGAAAATGGCTTTCTGTAACAGATAGCAATTTCGTTAGAAAAAAGAACAAGTGCATCACAAAACAGCTAAATCCATCTATTTCTGTGATACATTTAACTGGTTAACCATCAAAGTGCAATCTACAGTTTTCTACATATCCCAAAGTTTCTCACTGCAATGGTTTAAAGTCAACATTGAAAAGATGAAAAAATACATAGCAAATTATGCTTCACTTTTCACAATAATACTAAGAAAAAGGTATCTTTCTATGATATCAGAGTGCTAAATGCTAATGTAATAGTGGTTTCTGCTATGACAAGAGTCACACTCTGCATGAAACTTTAAGATTTCTATATAAGAATAAATTTTAAAATCCAAAAGTAGAAAAAAATAGCAAACTCTGTCAACCTTTGCATTTCTCCTTTGCAAACCAGGTTTTAAGTACTGAGTTCATGCTAGTATTTCCGATCAGTGTAGGCAATTTAGGAGTCTGGAATGAAAGGTTTTCTGTTTATATATTAGCTTAAAAGCAATATGGGATCTTCTAGCTCATAGAAAGGAATGGAGCTGGCTTGACTTTCTCCAGAATCTGAGTCGTATGGAGCATCAGGGAGCTCTGTAAAACCATATGCCAGTTGTTCATCTTCTATATCTGATCGAACATAGCAGGAAGTGTTAGAATAGTCCTCATCTTCTATACTGTTGAAATCTTGAGGAATATATAACATCCCAGGGTAGTTTCTACTTACCAAGTCACTTGTAGTTTTTAGGGATATTTTTCTAAATGCCATCAGATGCATATGTGAAAATTTTGAATACTTAAAACGTTTAAAGCCCAGGGACTCTATAGCAATCTTCCAGCTTTTCATCATCATAGCATGACGATTCTGATGGGAGGAATCAGGTGTGATGATAAGCAATAAACCATTTAACATTAACAGTTCATGGGCTTTCTTGCAGCAAATCCATCTCTGGTAAGGTGATGGAAAATAAGAAAGAAGGAGAGAGAAAACAACCACATGGAAAAGTTCTCCAGGAAGAGAATCAATAGGGTTTTTCAGCTGCTTCAAAAAGGCATCTATAGCATCCTGTGCAAGCTGGAGTGGTTGCTGAAGCTGCAAGTTCAGGAAGTCACATTTATATACACTCTGCAGAAGTGGAAAAACAAGGCACATTAGAATTCCAAAATTACTTCCACCTTATTACAGAGTTTATACCAAACTATCTCAAAGCATTTCTATATAATTCAAACTTTAATTATGTACCTTTCCCTTCTAAATTATTCCATTTGCACAAAGTTATTCAATCAAAACTTTTAGTCAAAGAAATCAGAGTAATTCATTCTAGATAATTCCTAGTTCCCATTTAAAAACATGTAATTTGAAATCAGAAATATTTTTGAGATACATATCTTTAAAAAATAAGGGCTTATTTGAAATTTAATTGAGGTAAGATTTAATAGAAATGTTTTCTTCTTTTATGTTAAGTACTTTTTTACTTTTCAATTACAGTTGACATACATTATTATATTAGTTTCAGGTATACAACGCAGTGATTAGACATTACATAATTTATTAAATGATCACCCCAATAAATCTAATATCCATCTAACTCCATACTTATTAGAATATACTGACTACATTCCCTATGCTGTACTTATGGCACTCAGCACATTAACCTCTAGGTCCATCCATGTTGTTGCAGAGGGCAAGATTTTATATGTTTTTATGGTGAAGTCATAGTCCATTGTATACAGGTTGGGGCAAAAGTAGCTTCACAGTTGTTCGTATAAAAATACAAGAATAAATAATAATATATGAATAAACTGTTTCATGTAGTCACATCTGTACATCTACTTTGCTTCACAATGTATATATGCACAACTTCTTCTTTATCCATTTACCCACTGATGGACACTTAGGTTGCTTCCACATCTTGGCTATTATAAATGCTGCTGCAATAAACATGTGGATGTCTATATCTTTTTGATTTAGTGTTTTGTGTTTCTTTGGATAAATACCCAGAACTAGAATTGCTGAGTCCTTCTTTGTCTCTTATTAACAGCCATTGCTTTAAAGTCTATTTTGTATGGTATAAGTATTGCTGTCCCAGCTTTTCAATTATTTCCATTTGCATGAAATATCTTTTTCATCCCTTTATTTTCAATCTGTGTGTGTCTTTTGATCTGAAGTGAGTGCCTTGTAGACAGCGTATATAAGGGTCTTGTTTTCTTATCTATTCAGCCTCCACATGCTTTTTGATTGGAGCATTTAATCCATTTCACTTAAAGTAATTGTTGATAGATATGTATTTATTGCCATTTTATTAGTTATATGTTTGATCTTGCAGCTTTTAAGATTCTCTGTCCTTAACCTCTGCCATTTTAATTATGATGTGTCTTGGTGTGGGCCTTTTGTGAGTTCATCTTGTTTGGGATTCTCTGTGCTTCCTGGACTTGTATGTCTATTTCCTTCACCAGGTTAGAGAAGTTTGCTGCCATTATTTTTTCACATACGTTTCCAATTCCTTGCTCTCTCTCTTCACCTCCTGGCACTGCCATGATGCAAATGTTGATATGCTTGAAGTTGTCCCAGATGATTGTTATACTATCTTCATTTGTTTGGATTTTTCTTACTTTTTGCTGTTCTGATTGGGTGTTTTCTGCTTTTTTATCTTCCAAATATATGATTTGATCCTCTACTTCATCTACTCCACTGTTAATTCCCTATAATATATTCTGCATTTCAGTTAAGATGGTCTTCATTTCTCTTTTATACTTCCTATCGCTTTGTAGAAGTCCTCACAGAGATCACTGAACATCCTTATAACCCGTGTTTTGAACTTTGCATCTGGTAGATTGTCTCCATTTTCTTTAGTTGTTTTACTGGAGTTCTGTCCTGTTTTTTCATCTGGGACATGCCTCTGTTTCCTCATTTTGGCAGCCTCCCTCTGTTTATTTCTACATAAACTCCTGCGCTTGGTAGAATGGCCTTATTTAATACGTATCCTATAGGTCCCAGTGGCACAGCGTCCCTGATCACCTGAGCTGGACATTTCCAGTATTTAAGTCCCCTACTATGAGTTTTGGCCTGTTTCTCCCTTTAGTTCTGTTAGTAGTTGCTTTATATATTTCAGTGCTCCCAGATTGGGTGCATATATATTGAGAAGTGTTATGTCTTCTTGAGGTATTGTCCCATTTATCAGTATAAAAGTACATATTTGTCTCTTTTTACTCTTTTCATCTTGAAATCTATTTTGTCAGATATAAGTACAGTGACACACTTTTCTCTGGATACCATTTCTTGAGTTATCATCTTTCACCCCTCATTCTGACTCTATGCTTGTCTTTGTAGCTGAGATGGGTATCCTGAAGGTTGATAAGTATAGTTCTTTCTTTTGTTTTCCAGTACACGGTGCTACAGTGCAAATTTTGTTTTCTCTTACCTGCAGTACTGGAACTTGTTGGACTCTGTGGGGTGATGTTGCTTCAGTGTGGAAAATGCCCTGTATTCTTCGAGGAGACGGGCATCCCTTCTATAAGTGGTTGCCTGAGTCTCTGGGCAACACCTTTGTGGTAGTGTGGCCAGTGATGGGAATCCAGGTCTGAGTTCCAGCCCTGTTTTCCTGCAACCAGAAGCAGTCAGTTGCCCTGCACTCTTTGAGGTGTCCCTTCTGCCTTTACAGGTTCCACCGCAATGGGTAGGGTGGGTTAGGTAGGAGAGGTGGGCTGGTTCATTTGGAAATGAACATCTGCAGCTTTATTCTTTCTACTGGGTTTAGCTCAAATGAGAATAGGCCACTCCATTTAAAATGATGCCTCTGCTCCTTCACAACTTTCTTCTACTGCTGCTGCCTCCACTGGAAATGGCCGGCTACAAGAGGGTGGGGGGGGGAGGGGAGGCAGACTTGTGCATCTGTGGCTTTTTCTTTTTCCTTGGTGATGGTGGCAGTGCTACCCTTTGCACTATTTTTTTCACTGTCTCTATCCCTGGGTTCAGCATCAATGTGCACCAGCCTCCGGTCCACAAAAAGGAGGCTGCAACCCTACTGCACAGCTATACCACCTGTTGGGGCTGCTGCAATTGCTGGACTGCTTCTGCAGCTCCCTTCTCGGTCCTCCCTGCCCCCATGCCTGTACTGCTCACTCTTACAGCCCACCTTCAGATGGCTCAATGTGTGGTCACTCAGACATTTCGTGTTGGTCAGGGAATCCTTTGATGAATTACAGTTGTCCAGCCTGCTGTGTCTTTAAGAGAGGAGACTAAGGTTTTCTCACGCTGCCATGATGCTGACATCAATCTCAAATTTCCCTTCTTTTTTTTTGTATTAATATACTTTTTTATCAGTTTCAGAGAGGAAGGGAGAAGGAGAGATTGAAACATCAATGATGAGAATCATTGATTGGCTGCCTCCTGCATGCCCACACTGGGGATGGAGCCCACAACCCAGGAATGTGTCCAGTCTGGGAATTGAACTGCGACAGTGGTTCACAGGCTGACTCTAGGTGACAGATTTTTATCTTGTAGTCCTTTAACATGTCTTTTTCCAGAGTGGCTATTTCCAGCCTGTGTGAGTGCCAAGCACTATCACCTCTAGTCCTTTCAGGTGGTGCTTCTTCCATTCTCATGCAGTTTTCTACACACATATTGATCAGTACTCAGCTGTGTACTGAAGGAGGACTCTGCAGACCTTAGAGTCTTCCCTCTGTGCAGCTCTCATTTCTTTGGTACTCTGCCCTGGGAACCCTAGCTGTTTTGGGCTGCTAGAACTTTCAGCTCCATCTCCACAACTCGGGGGATCAGCTGGGTTGTGATCATCTCTTTGTGCATGTCCTGAAAATGATCTGAAGGCTATATACTGGTGCAATTTTAGGGCCCATATAATTTGTTTCAGTCCCTTGGGGATCATTGTCCTTTATTATCTAACGTCTAATCCTATATAATAAAAGCCTAATATGCTAAGTGCCCGACCATTTGTTCGACCAGTCGCTATGATGCGCACTGACCACCAGGGGAAAGACGCTCTGACGGTAGGTTAGTTTGCTGCCTGGGTCCAGCTGATTGGGACTGTGCAAGATGGGCTGGACATGCCCTGGAGCCAACCTCCCACAGTCCCTCCTTGGCCTCTAAAATATTCTAATTAATTTCCTTTCAATGTGCACAAATCCATGCACCAGGCCTCTAGTGTCTTATAAATTATTTTGTTCACATTTTTGTTGCCTAAGGCAGGGGGGAAAAGGATCACTCTGGTCCCTGTTACTTCATCTTGGCTGGAAGTGTCTCTTCCTTTTGTTTTAATTATAGGGTTCTGAAACTGTGGAAGTCTGATTCTACTACTAAACTTATATATAGCAGTTGTTTGCCTTCCCTAATGATTTTACAGTTGAAAATTTATAGCCACATCTCTAAACAAATAAAATATTTTAAGAATAATATTTAAGCCTGAGGTTCAGATCAAATGGTTGTCATGTCTCAGCAGTCCCTGAAGGATATCTCTAACACAAGTATGTGTCTTGAGGAAGGAAGGCGAGAGTCACCTGCCCTTTAAAACTATGGCTCCTTATAGCACCTGCAATGAAAAGCTAAGTAGGGCTGTTTAAATATAAAGCAAACATTTGTCCATCGTTAGGAAGTAGAGATAACACTAATGGTTTTAGAATTTCCTTGTTCCTCAATGTTACTCGTATACATCTACTCTAGATAGTCATGCTCATCAAAATTAAAGACCCATGAAAAAGTTGAATCTTCAATTAAAAACATTCCAATAATGATAGAAAACATTTCTTTAGCACTCACTATGTAACAGGTATTTTTCTAGGTGCTTTAAATATTTTTCCTCAAGTAAACATTATAACAAACTTGTAAAGTATAATCCATTATTAACTCCATTATACAGATGAGAAAATGAAGCTCAGAGATTCAAACCCAGGTTGAACAAAAGATTAGATTCTTTTATTCAAAAAACAAAATGGGAGACATCTGTAATACTGTCAACAATTAAAAAAAAAAAAAGTACTTAATGAGTACATAATGTACCAGGCATGTTTCTAAGTGCTGGGAACATAGTAGTGAGAAGGAAAAAAAAAAAAAAATCCTTATGCCAAAGAATTTGTATTCTTACACGCATTTTCTTTATAAAAATAAAAAGTTAATTTGAAATTTTCTTTTTGTGCCTGGTGTATCAAAAGTAAAATGGAAAACATTATAAATTTATGTCACTAAAAAAATTCTCCTTTTAAAAGTAGAGGATACATTCTGTGTAAAGGTAAGCAGTTTCATTTACTAAGTACATATAGTGGGATTAAATAAAGTTATGGCTAACTCCAAAGCCTTTGCTATTTCCATTATTCCATAATGGCTTCACATCACAATACATTTCAGAAAGAGATGCATTAAAAAATAAATCAATCAAAAGCCCAAATACTATAGCTATCTAAAAATCTGTGCAATTTACTAAATATTCTTGATTGCAAAAATAAATGATAAACAGGGAATAAAAATTGAGAAAATAAATACAAATATGGTAGAAGTCAAGTTAATATTTGTTAACTAAATGCTAAAAAATTTTAATTAAATATATATTTATTTTTGAATGGAAACAATATCAACATGTACACACGAAATATATTTGGTATTTCAAAAATGTAAAGACAATTATTTTCCTTTGTAAATATGCATGTAAAATATTCAAGTCTCAAAACAAAACATAACTATACATACCTCTACGGCAGGTACAATGTCTATGCCAACAGTTAGAAATTCTTCAAACTTCATAAATGGGTTAAAGCAGCTGCCAACATCAAGTAATCTGATCTTCCCTGAGGTTTGTAGCAACCTAAAAACATATTATTTTGTCTTATAACAAGCAAAATAAAAATAAATTATAAGAAAAATTCAGACATCTGAAAATTAAAAAGCTCATATAGATTTTTAGCTCTCTTTTTGGCCTTGAGATTCCTTTAACACATTTAAAAATTATGGAGGACCTTAAAGAATTTTTGTTTATGTGGGTTATTCCTATCAATATCATATTTGAGAAAAAAATATATTTGAAATTAAAGTCAAATAGTTTAAAAAACATTTATTGATATAACAATAAACCTATTGTATATGATATTGTAAATTTGGTATTTGTAATGAAAAATCTAGGTCAGAAAGACAGTAAAAAGTGAGTCATTAGTTTACATTTATTCAAGTCTCTTTAATGCTTGGCTTAATAGAAGATTGGTGAATTCTCATGTTTGCTTTTGTATTCGAGCTGTTCCAACATCACATGCCACGTAGTCTCTAGAAAAGCCTACACTCTACACTCATAAGATTGAGAGTAAAAAAGGCCTTTAACTTTTTAGTATTACTGTGAAAATAATTTTTCCTCCACAGACACGCCAGAAGGTTAACTTAGATTCCCAGACCACACTTCGAAAACTATCACTGTAGATGAGAGAATCCATTCACAAATCATTTCTCAGTAGTAAATATAACAATGTCTTTGTACTTAACTTTAATTTGTTTCAATGAGTTAAAAGGATCAAAGAGAAAAGCATAAACGGAACAGTATTGTTATAAAATTCTTTTGTTTTATTTTTATTTAAGAGCTCTCTTCATGTCCAAACACAGTAGGAAAAAATGAAGCAATAAAACCAGAAATGACCATATTTTAAAGTTAGCCAAATGCATCAAATATGGATAGCAGCAAGGATGAAGGAAAACAGTGGATTTCGTTGGTCTAAAGCCTATAATCCTAACATTCAGACAATATAGCAATAAGAAAAATCAACTTCATACATATGCCATTTTACTGATTTAAAATAATTTTCTTTAAAAAGATTATAAGTGGATATTGGGGAAAAAAATGAAATGCAAACAAATAATTGGGTAAAACCACAATCCTGACTCCTTAAATTTTAGAGAGCAGAGAGAACCTGTCCAGCGTCTCTCCTTTATACATTAGTAGAGGCCCGGTGAACAAATTCGTGCACCAGTGGGGTCCCTAGGCTTAGCCTATAGGATTGGGCCGAAACCAGCTCTCCGACATCCCGAGGGGTCCCAGATTGCGAGAGGGCGCAGACCAGGCTGAGGGACCCCACTGATGCACGATCGGGGCTGGGGAGGGATGTGGGAGATTGGCCAGCTGGGGAGGGACCATGGGAGGGTTCCAGGGCGGTCCAGCCCGTCTCGCTCAGTCCCAATCGGCCGGATCCCAGCAGAAAGCTGACCTACAAGTCGGAGCGTCTGCCCCCTGGTGGTCAGTACATGTCATAGAGACTTGTCGACTGGTCAACTGTCTGACTCCTGGTGGTCAGTACATGTCATAGCAAGCAGTTGAGCAGCCTTAGCATATCATTAGCATATTATGCTTTGATTGGTTGAATGGATGACCAGACACTTAGCATATTAGGCTTTTATAATATAGGACTAGAGGCCAGGTGCACAAAAATTAGTGCACTTGAGGGTGAGTGGGGGGTACCTCAGCCTGGCCTGTGCCCTCTTGCAGTCTGGGACCCCTCGGGAGATAACAACCTGCTGGCTTAGGCCTGCTCCCGGGTGGCAGAGGGCAGGCCCAATCCCTAGGTGCAGCCCCTGGTCGGGCTCAGAGAGGGCCGATTGGGGATTTGGGGCGCCGCCCCCTGTCATGCAAAGAGCAGGGCAGATTGGGAGGTTGCTATGCCACCCTCAGGGTAGGGCCGATTGGGGGGTTGGGGCACCGCCCCCTGTCACACTCAAGGCAGGGTCGATGGGGAGGTTGTGGCGCCACCCCGTCACGCACAGAGCCGCAGGGCGATCAGGGGGTTTGGGCGCTGACCCCTCTCACGCTGATCCCGGTGCCTGGAGGCCTCTCGGCTCCGCTGATCCCGGTGCTGGGAGGCATATTACCCTTTTACTATATAGAATAGAGGCCTGGTGCATGGGTGGGGGCCAGCTGGTTTGCCCTGAAGGGTGTCCTGGATCAGGGTGGGGGTCCCCACTGGGGTGCCTGGCCAGCCTGGATGAGGGGATGATGGCTGCTTGCACCTGGTCACACACCCTTCAGGGTGGGGGGTCCCCACTGGGGTGCCTGGCCAGTCTGGGTGAGGGGCTGAGGGCTGTTTTCAGGCTGGGACTGAAGCTCCCAACTGCTCCTTTTTTTCTTTCTTATTCTGGGCCAGCTTTAGCTCTGAGGCTTGGCTCCAGCTCTGAGGCCTCAGCTGCTGAAAACAGGTATCTGGTTTGTTTCAGTTCTATATCTTAACTCTGTATCAACTCCAGCTCTGAGATCCCAGCTCTCTGAAAGCTGGTTTCTGGGGTTTTGTTTAGCTTCTATATTTGTTACAATGTTTTTTAAACTGCAAGCTCAGAGGCCGGCAAGGCAGGCAGGGAACGTTGGTTTCCTCCGTCACTGAAGCAACAAGCCTCATGTTCAGTTTAAGCTGCCTGGTTGCCGGCCGCCATCTTGGCTGGCAGTTAGTTTGCATATCGCCCTGATTAGCCAATGGGAAGGGTAGCGGTCGTACGCCAATTACCATGTTTCTCTTTTATTAAATAGGACTAGAGGCCCGGTGCACAAAAATTTGTGCACTCGGCGGGGAGGGGAGGTCCCTAAGCCCGGCCTGTGCCCTCTCGCAGTCTGGGACCCCTCGGGAGATAACGACCTGCTGGCTTAGGCCTACTCCAGGGTGGAAGAGGGCAGGCCCAATCCCTAGGTGCAGCCCCTGGTCGGGCTCAGAGCAGGGCCGGTTGGGGAGTTGGGGCGCCGCCCCCTGTCATGCACAGAGCAGGGCGGATCGGGAGGTTGCAATGCCACCCTCGTCACGCTCAGGGTAGGGCCGATTGGGGGGTTGGGGCACCGCCCCCTGTCACACTCAAGGCAGGGTCCATGGGGAGGTTGCGGCGCCACCCCCTGTCACGCACAGAGCAGGGCCAATCAGGGGGTTGGGGTGCTGCCCCCTGTCACTCACAGAGCAGGGCCCATCAGGGGGGTTGGGCTCCGTACCCTGTCACGCACAGAGCAGGGTCGATCAGGGGGTTGGGGAGCTCCCCCCTGTCACGCACAGAGTAGGGCCGATAGGGGAGTTGGCACACCGCCCTCTATCACCCACAGAGAAGGGCCGATCCGGGGGTTGGGGCACCGCCACTGTCACACTCAGGGCAGGGCTGATGGGGAGGTTATGGCTCTACCCCATCACACACAGAGCAGGGCCCGTGAGGGGGGGGGGGTTGGGGCACACCGCCCTCTATCACCCACAGAGCAGGGCCGATCAGGGGGTTGGGGTGCCTTCCCCTGTCACGAACAGAGCAGGGTGGATAGGGAGGTTGTGGCCCCACCCCGTCACACACAGAACCGCAGGGCGATCAGGGGGTTTGGGCGCTGACCCCTCTCACGCTGATCCCGGTGCCGGGAGGCCTCGTGGCTCCGCTGATCCCAGTGCTGGGAGGCATATTACCCTTTTACTATATAGAATATAGGCCTGGTGCACGGGTGAGGGCCGGCTGGTTTGCCCTGAAGGGTGTCCTGGATCAGGGTGGGGGGTCCCCACTGGGGTGCCTGGCCAGCCTGGATGAGAGGGGATGATGGCTGTTTGCAGCTGGTCACACACCCTTCAGGGTGGGGTCCCCACTGGGGTGCCTGGCCAGTCTGGGTGAGGGGATGAGGGCTGTTTTCAGGCTGGGACTGAAGCTCCCAACTGCTCCTTTTTTTCTTTTTTATTCTGGGCCAGCTTTAGCTCTGAGGCTCCAGGTCTTAGGCCTCCGCTCCTGAAAGCAGGTATCTCGTTTGTTTCGGTTCTCGAAACTCTGTATCAACTCCAGCTGAGATCCCAGCCGGATGAAAGCTGGTTTCTGGAGTTTTGTTTAGCATCTGTATTTGTTATAATGTTTGAAACCGCAGGCTCAGAGGCCGGTAAGGCAGGCGGGGAACGCTGGAGTCCTCCGTCACTGAAGCAAGCAAGCCTCATGTTAGTTTCATGCTGCCTGGTTGCCGGCCACCATCTTGGCTGACAGTTAATTTGCATATTGCCCTGATTAGCCAATGGGAAGGGTAGCGGTCGTACGCCAATTACCATGTTTCTCTTTTATGAGTGTAGATTATTACCTTAGGGCCCATTAGGGAGGTGTTTCATTTCCAAATAGTAGGCTAAGCTCCTGGAAAAGGCACTAAATCAAAATAATATAAAGTTGATTTCCTCCAAAAAAAATGCATGCACTATGTGTAGGGTTACATTTTCTTGTTGTTAATCCTCACTGGAAGATATTTTTCCATTGCTTTTCAGAGAGAGAGGAAGGCGGGTTTGTGTGTAGGCGGGGGGTGGAGGGGGTGGGAGGGAGGTGGGGAGAGAAATATTGATGTGAAAGAGACACACTGATTGATTGGTTGTTTGCCTCCTGTATGTGCCCTGACCTCGGGCAGGGAGTGAACCCACAACCCTCAAGTGTGCAGACTGAAGGGTCTTGGGTTTGATTCTGGTTAAGGGCACATGCAGGAGGCAGCCAATCAATGATTCTCTCTCATCACTGATGGTTCTATCTCGCTCTCCCTTCCTCTCTGAAATCAATAAAAATAAATAATATAAAGACCAATTACAAAGTAAACAAAGTAATTAGCACCAATGCCAAGAAATATATCACTGCCTACACTCTGGAAGCAAGACCCTCCCTGATGACATCCACTACCCCTATCTGTAATTCTATTCACTACCTGACTTAAATGATAATGGTATCCTTTTGATGGTCTTACTACCTATGACTGACTGCTTAAATAATATAGTTTAGTTTTACACACTATACGTTTTCTTTTGTGACTTTCTTTTTTAATTTAATATTAATTTTGTGAAAGTCATATGTGTTTCTATTCATTAATTG